ACTTTAATATTTTAGTGGTTTCTTCTGGTATGTCTATGGCTAATGATATGCTTACAGTATTTCATTATCAGTTTTAGATATTATCCTTTGATATCCAATTACGGAAGGTGAGCATTTATTTCTCTCATCTGCTCTCGGGTACACACAAACACACGCTTTAACCTTTCATCTTCACAATCTTGTAATTCCCATTTTTAGCTAAATGGACAATTGGCATTGCTATGATACTACCCTCGTAATCACATGCTGTGCAAAGACTGTATTTACTTAATCACACTTTTATTTCCTTAGATTGCAGGGACCTAGTTTTCGACAACTTCTAGTTCATGCTCAAGTTCCTTAAGCAAACGGGCGCTCCCTGACGGCCACACCCTGGATCGTCGGCTCCTTCTTTCTGTGTTGGTTTGCTTTCTTACAACGGCGGTGTTCCCCCTGCAGCCCTCCGCTGCCCTCCTCTGTTCCTGTCGGATTGGTCATGCACTTGCAGGGATATTGACCTGAAATTCCCTGCATCGTCACCAAACTTTTACCCAGGTGGTGGCACCTGTTCCCTGAATCCCACATCTTCCTTTTCCTTAGTTTTATCCCTGAGTTTACAGTATCATACCTTCCAGCAGCCTCGTAATTTCTTTCATATCTCTCCACATTGCCTTCTTTTGTTTTAAATGATGTAGGGGACAAATTTAATTCTCTATCACCTTCTTATCTTTTTTAAAGTTATTTTCAAAAAACCAAGTTATTTTCTTAGTGGTTTCCCTAGGAATAATGATTACCTTAAATCCTAAGTATCTAATTGAGTTTATACCAAAAAACAAGAAAGGTGTGTATCAGGGTTGTATCCTCTCACTTTACTTATTCAATCTGTATGTTGAGCAAATCATCAAAGAAGATGGATTATATAAAGAAGAATGTGACCTCAGGAGTGGAGGAAGGCTTATTAACAACCTTCAATATGCAAATAACCCAACTTCTGCTTGCTTAAGTGAGGAGGCTGTGAAGCACTTGCCGATGGAGGTCAGAGATTACAGCCTTCAGCATGGATGGCAACTCAGTGTAAAGGAGACAAGATCATTATAGCAGCTCGACCAGTACGTCACATTGTGATAAATGGAGAAAACAAGGAAGTCGCCAAGGATTTCATCTTGCTTGGATTCACAATCACTGCTCACGGAAGCAATGGTCAAGAAATAAAATGGCTCATTGCACTGGGTAAGTCTGCTGCACATGACGTCTTGAAAGTGTTACAATGTAAGGACTAACTTGCACTTGACCATGGTATTTTCAGTCATCTCATATGCACATGAAAGTTGGACAGTGAATAAGGAAGACTGGAAAAAAAATAGATGCATTTGGATTACTGTACTGGAGAAAGAAAAATAAGTGCCATGGACTACAAAAAGAACAAACAAACCTGTCTTGCAAGAAGTGAAGTCAGAATGTTTCTTAGGGGCATGGATGGTGAGACTTGATCTCATGCACTTTGGGTATGTTGTCAGGAGAGACGAGTCCCTAGAGAAGGACGTCACTCTTGGTAAAGATGAGGGGCAATGAAAGAGAGGTCGACTCTCAGCAAGATGGACTGACATGGTGGCTGCAACAATGGGCTCAAGCATAAGAAAAATTGTCCAGGACCAGGCAGTGTTGCGTTCTATTACGCATGTTACCACCTAAGTCGGAACCCATTCAATGGCACCTAACCACAACAAGAACAATTTAAAGAGCACACAAAAACTTTGCTCCTTGGTTTAACCCCCAGGAGTAGCTCTTAACATCCTTCAGGACTGGAATAACCCATGTGTTAAAATAATCAACCATCTAATAAAAGGGGCAGCATTTATTCAAAACAAAGCGCAGAGGGTTAGGAAAGGAGATGGGATGGAAACAGAAATCACAGGAAAGAAGTGTGATAAGTGATGGTATATTGAGTGCACGGCAATGGAAGAGTTGGAACATAACATATACGAATTGTTGAATGTAAAACTAATGATATGCTCTGTAAACCTTCACCTAATTGACAAAAAACTATAAAAGCAAAACAGAAAATAAGAACTTTGCTCCTCAGTAAGCAAACAACATCATAGGCAGGGAACAATTAAGGAATTAAAATCAACAACAAGGACGTAGAGATCCTGGGGGTGTTGGAGCAACAGCAATCTAGCTGAGAGGAATCACTAAGAGGCGGGAGTAGGGTGAGTGTGATGGCGAGGAAAGAGGAAGATGAAAGGAAACAAAGGAATGATCTAAGAAGCAAAGCTATGGATAGAGGTATAAGTAAAGGTGTGTCCATATGTTCATACTTTAATTCATAAAAATAGAAGTATTGGCCTTGGTATATATGTGGCAATACACTGAGGTTCTGGATGGACTTTGGTCCTCTCAGGCCTTCCCTCAATGCAAGAACACTTTGTTTTAAAAACCTGGCATTCTGTGATGCTCAATGTCCCGGCACAATCACTGAAGACAAAATGTGTGCATAAGCAAATGTGGTGAAGAAAGCAGATGGTGCCCGGCTATCAAAAAATATAGTGTCTGGGGTCTTGAAGGTTTTAAGTTAAACAAGTGGCCATCTAGCAGAGAAGCAACAAGCCCACATGGAAGAAGCACACCAGATTGTGTGATCATGAGGTGTTGCTGGGACCAGGTAACAGGCATCAGAAGACCCACAAAGAAAGAAAGAAAGAAAGAAAGAAACAAACCATATTGTTGAGAACGAGGGGGGTTGGAGCAGAAACCCAAAGCCCATCTGTAGACAATGGGACCCCTCACAGAGGTGTCACAGGGAAGGGATGAGTCAATCAGGGTGCAATAAAGCACTGATGAAATACACAATCACACAATAATCCTTTGGTTCCTTGAGGTTTCCTCACCCCCACACATCCCTATCATGACCCTAGTACTGCCTTTCACTGCAGGCTAGACTGGAGCATGGGCACAGGTACAGTTAATACATAAGAGCTCACGACACATGGAATCTAGAAACAGGAATGGGAGCAGTGATACCAGGAGGGCAGGGGGAAGGTGTGGAGAGCAAGGGGGAACCAATCGCCATGATCAACACATAACTGCACCCCCCCCCTGCTTCCCCTCCACCCCGGGGACGAACAACAGAAACTGTGGGGGAAGGGAGACAGCAGTCAGTGTAAAATATGAAAATAATAATTTATAATTTATCAAGGGGCCACAGTCGGGGGAAGAGGAGCTGACACCAAGGGCTCAATAGAAAATAAATGTCTAGAAAATGATGGCAAAATATGTACAAATATGCTTGATACAATTGATGTTATGTATGGATTATTACAAGAGCTGTATGAGCCCTCAATAACATATTAAAAAAAAAAGTTTGCTCCTATGTAACTTCATTCCCTCATCCTCTCCTTTTAGTGTTGTAGTTTAATACATTTTTACAGTTTGCTTATCAACACAGATTTATAATTATTAATTTATGCATGTATTTTTAAAACAAGATAGGTGAGAAATAGTTAAAAACTACATAATTATGTATTTACTTTCATGATTCTCTTTATTTCTTCATGTGGATTCATGTTAACTTGTCTATAGTCCTTTCATTTTGACTAAAAGGATTTCTTCAGTACTTCTTGCAAGGCAGGTTTGCTAGTGACAAAGTTTTTGTTCATCTGGAAATGTCTTAATTTCTCCCTCTCTTTTGAAAGCACTGCTGGATATAGAAGTTTTTCCTTTAGCATTTTGAATGTACCATTCCATTACCTTCTGCCTTGCATAGTTTCTGGTGAGAAAACAGCTGTCAATCCTTTTTTTTTGTATGTGATGTGCTACTTCCTTTCAAGATTCTTTTTTTTTTTTTTTTTTTTTGATGGGTTTTATGATGTGGCCAGGTGCAAATAGATTTGAGTTCATCCTACTTGGAATTTGTTGGATATCCTGGATCTTTAAAAGTTTCCCCTCAAATTTGGTAAGTTTT